AGAAACAGCTCATGGTCAGAGAAAAAAGACGAAAAGATAGTATTTGGTAGTAGCCATGAAATTTGATGTCTCACATTGTAGAGTTTCACTGGGGGTCATCTTATCATGCATAGGAGAGTGTGCGCTAGCCAAACTTGTCCAGATCACCAAATAAAGAAATTATGAAAATGAACTCACAGATATATCAAATATGGACTCCTCAGTGAGTGAAAAATGGATACAGCCATTGGCATTCAACAAGTCAACACCATTATCAAATCCTATCAGCACGATATTCGCAGAATCCCATGTGTTGCAGATACTAGTGTATCGTGACGTTTCCATGCAAGTCCGTCGACGATTTCCTGATCTCCCCTCGATCGTCAATGAAGGTGGGTGAAATTCTAAAGCATAACTACCGCTGTTGCAGGGAATCCCGAATTGCACCTTCTTCACAGTTCGCTACCGATATTCAGGCATACTGCACTTTTAGTCGAGGCACGGGGAATTCGCGGTCACCGCGTCGCCTCTGAGGTCCGGACACGCTCTGAACACACCACATGAAACGCAGCTAACCATAGGAAAGGCGATGGAAACCGCGGCCCTGCCTACAGGAGGCAATGCCTACAGGGGACACTCAGCTTATGAACATGGGGAGTACTCTAATTTTTTCCTCATGGGGTGTTGGGGTAAATGAGTTTCTAAGCACCAGTGCATGAATCTTCAAAGTGGACGTGCCTGGAATCCCAGGCTTTTCACCTTAAACTTGAAGATCCTGCACTCTGATGACCCTTATGAGGAAGTTGAGCAGCTACTTCGAGCTGCGGCGAACATAGAAGACCAATTCGAGCTCGACAGCGATGACGGACGGTATCACCTCGTCATGACCGTTGAAGCTCTGAGGCGGAGTGCTTACTGCGTCCTAGAGACATTTTACCATGGGTTTTCAATGCATCTTGCCACCGTTAGCGAAGTGAACCTTGATGCAGCATTTCAGCGTCTTTTTTGCTGATCCCTTGAACGTTCTTTGAAACAATCTGGCATGCTCTCAAAAAGGGTTTTTGTGCAAGTTCTAGGCCGTTTCCGAGACTCAAGTGATGCAGAAATTCTAGTGGAGTTGAAACTGTGACTCATCTGTACTTTGCAGGTTTTATGCTGGATCATGAGCTTGTAATATACGAAAATGTACAGGCGCCCAGCAGCTCAAAAAGTAAGGTTCCTGTCACTTGGTTCTGCTCCATCTGCTGATACGAAAAGAAAGAAGCCGCACAAATGTAAGGACAACATCCTTGTTTCTCATCAATTAATTTTGTCGCAAATGAATGAAATGTCAAGCGAACATCGTCACCATCGCAATCAATCGACTACCATGGAATATGTCATATAGGATAGTAGGTGCAGGATGAGTGCATCAGTGGAGTACACCAAAACGCATGTAATTCAGGTGTCACTGTTGACCAGAATCAACTTCCTCTGCGGTTACCAGGCTTGTCAAAAGTTTTACCCCTACTCTGCCAATGGAGGCTGAACCCACCCTCCAAGAAGGACTACCGAAAGCCGTGACTGATTGTAAAGTTTTCTGCCATTGTAACGGGTTGCCGCGGGGGCGGACATTGCATGGACAGGCATGAGAGGAGCGCCGGCCATTCCGTTTCTTTTTCTTTGCGGGCGTGTACACTGAACCATATAGTTCGAGTCAGTCGCTTTCCGCTAAATGTTGTCGCTGCACTGCTTCAACAGCTGGTCGTGTACGAGTTGGCGGCGCGCCATACCGAGCCTCCCTGACACGCCCTATCAAGATTGTAGATATCGTATATGGATACAATCGAGGCTGGGACGTTGTCCTTTATTATCAAAAAAACTTCACGGGAACGGATGTGGCAAGGCCGTGGCTCGATTGGAGCCACATCTGACAATGACTAGTTAAGAAGCTAAGTCGGCTGTTGGGCTCGAAAGATCTTTCTGCGATCCGTGATAGGACTTATAGTGCGGTGCAGCTGAAGCGAGCTTGCCCCACACAACTCTTACTTGATTCCTATGGGGAGGTTGTTACAAGCACTACACAAGTTTGCTGCGTAGAACATCTCAAATCGCTCGTCGGTCAACTATGGACTGCTTCGCAAAAATCCCACGAAGAGTCCTGAGGAGCAAACACCTGCTGATCATGCCGTCGTTGTGTACTTGAGATGAACATCAGGAGCAGAGACTAAGATTTCAGCTGCCAGTCTCTATATGGCCGCGCTTATACTCCGCGATTGAGTCCCGCAATCGTGAGCGACCGCGCTTCGCTGCCGCCGCAATGGTCAAAGAATTCTATCCTAAATGTGATTGAATCAGCAACTGCAAGGGTCTAACGGTGAGCGGTGGAGCGTGGTGGCTTGCTCTCATCAGATTTTCAAACTGTGACACTGACACTCCTGTTGCTAGAATGAAGGAACTTAAGGCAAAGGTGACACCGACTAAAGGCGTTGGATTTGATACACCTGCAGTAGGGATTTCACTCCTAAGCAGACGCTGCGTAAGCACCTTTCCCAAGAAAAGCTGAGTGTTATGAGCCCTATCGAGCCTACAACATACCGACCCGAACGCCCATCACGCCCGCCCGCCCACAAATGGACGACCGTTCCTGACGCTCGTATTGATTCGTTTGCTAAGCAAATTATGAAGCGAAGGGATTGGTGTGAAGCGGCCGCGGATGCTGCATGGATATATGAATACACACATGCGGCCGAATCTTCTGTAGCGTTATTGGCAAGACGCCTACGAGAAACTCTATTCCGAAACTGATTTGTTAAGTCATTGGGAAGTAAGCGCTCTTTCTTCGCAGGATTTGTGACCGTTTCACTCCTTTCTTTCGCCATTTCCCCACTATATAGCGCCTGCTAGCATTTTAGGCCGAGTACCAACTTATCGTGCCAATTACTTTAATGCAAAATCATCGCACTATCCGATAAAGACAGTCCCGTAGAAACTTCGAGCGTAGAAGCACTGGTTGACCGTGGAAAACAAGACTCTCATCAAGTGCGGGCACGATAGCACCGAATACTTCTAGAGCTCTGAACCATGACTCTCATCGTGCTGTTTGGAGAAACAGTCGGCGGTCAGAACGATCCTCTCAAAAAAAGAACTGCCGCTTGTTACGATTTACCTATTAAGCCGTGCGGGGGCCGCGAGACAAGTGCCGTGATCCTCGGGAAAAGTCCAGAGGCTCACTATCCTTCGTTTGATCATTCATTAGCAATGAAGGGAAGCTTTCAATGAGATATGGTTGTATTTCAATAGTACGCTTCGGGCCAAGAAAGGTCGACAGTACTATTTGAACGACCTAGTACATCGCTGAATACACCGATCTAGCTCGAACAAATTTCAGATATTGGCTCCCAATAAACTGGGCAGTCACCTTGCTTGCGCGAGCTCGCGACAAGGAGTATATTGCTGATCCTCCCTCCTATAGCTTAATGATGAAGGTAAATAAGAGAAGCTTGGCGTATACACGGGATGTTTTCGCAGAGGAAGTATTTTCAGGAACTCATCACCTTCCGTACTCATCTCGCTTTGCTGTGTAACTATGATTGGGTCCCTATACCAATAGCATATCCTCAGGCAGGTTTTCTCTTCGTCAGCGCATATACGCTGAAATAAAGTCTCTGGTTAAGGTGGTATTTCTCGCTGTACGCTCTTATTTTATTATTTGTCTTGTGTCGCGACAATTTCTCATAGGAGATGGTTCTCCAACTGGTCGGTCGGTAAGGAAAATGCTATTGATAAATCAAAGGCAAAGATTGCGCAGGAAGTGAGGATAGAGCCCTTTCGACTGCTTAACGCATGCTTCCTACCCGCTGGATAGCGTTAGCGGCTGATAGCGTTTCACACTCCAAAGACAATTCCCGCGAAAAAGGGGTCCGCGAAATGCCTACGTGCATTTGGCACAGTCAGCATTCGCAGAGAATATACCACTTTCGTCACTCGAAACGGCGAGATAAAGAAGCTAGAGACGCGTGATTATTGCAACCATTGCAACCACGATTACTTTCACTCTGCAAGACAACGGCTTACAAGCGGAATGCGTGTGTACATAGCGTTGCCTGGAGCGTCGTAGGGTGATTTCCTGTGCTCTTGCCGGGAATGGTTGCACGTCGAATCCTGCTGATTGGGCTTGCCGACGTCCGACAAACTCGTCCAAGGCGCCCACTGCTAAAGGGGTCTCTGTTCAGAGTGTTCCAAAGGTTTTTTCGCTTCTTTCTCTACTGGGGGTTACTTGTGGGCCACTAGTTCATGACTGAGCACCTATTACCCGTAACATTTGATTGTGGGAATTGTCTTTAAAGAGCGTTGCAACACTTAATCGCTCCTTACTTATCGTCAATATCTCAGATTAATATCTACGTGCCAGTGATGACAATACTTCAGTTTCTTTTCTTCGTCGCTTGGATGAAGGTTAGTACAGCACATTCACTTCTATGATACATAAGGACCTTTCACAAACAATGCAAATAGGGAACCCAAGCCGCTGACAACGCCTTCACGGTTGACTAGACAAAGTAGCGGTGTAGTTTGACCGACGGGGGGAGGGGGGGGGCATTTTGTACTACCATTGCTTCCTTAGATCCGGTTTACATGTCTCACTCTGGCGAAACCCGTGTTAAACCCCTTGTGAAAAAAAAGTGCCATCATGTTAAAACCTGTCAACTCGAGAAAAAGCTGTATGGTTCGACACGGTATCGATGGGAAGTAGCAAAAGTGAGAAATGCCCCCCCCCGGGTCATCAAACTGCGCCCAAAGTAGCATTCAAGAGCATGTGAGATTACAATCATTAGTGAGAAATGGGTCGTAGGCGCATTTCAAAGAGAACTTCGCCGAGCATTTGTTGTAGTTCTTAAAGGGATGAAGATCAATTTTGCAAAGAACATCTTTCACTAACACCTCTTGTTTAGGTTGCTGAAGCACTACTGAATCCTCTTGGAGAGGACGACGACGATTTCGAGTGCAATTTCCTTATCAATCGCAACACAACTGTAGGTAGTGGACTGTCACTACGTATAGTCAGCACATGAAGACAAACAATACCTTTTGAGCTTTTTTCACAGAAGAAACGCTGAATGCAACTGAAGCATATCTGAGGGCAATGCCGAGCATCAGGCCTGTCGTACAACGCTGGAGGTCCAGATGGAAAATAGGCAGAAAGCGTATGTACAAGAGAATAAATTCGGTACTGGGATACGTAGCAGCCAGGGAGACGCCTCACTGAGCCCTAAGATATTTGCTGTGATCTTCTCCATGAGCGGATTAAGCAGGTCTCCAGCTGATATCAGGGGTACCACTCTCTCCCTTGAAGTTAGTGGCAGCAAAGCTGGATGTTCTCCCATGTCTACTCGTTCAACAAGTGGTGCGCATGCCGCACGTTGCGGGCACGTTGCAAACAATGGATAGCATCGTTGGGAGAAAAGAGGTTGTATCTGGGGTCATCCACGAGTGTGGCTCGGTACAAAATTACTTCAATTTCCGTTTGAACTGGAGTATTTTGAAAGAGAACTTGAAAAATTTTTTGGTAAGAGTCGTGAGATGTAAGGCAGGACGAGGAACGAGATTTACTAAAGCAGGAATTTCAGGAGGGGGGGGTCATACTGATACCGCCATTTCACATATCACGGTGCTGTGCCTTGGTTGTCAGCTTTTTCAGCTGCGAGAGCTGAACGACCAAGATCATGAACCATTTCCTGTGGAAATGAAGTCTAAAAACAATCTGTTTGGACTTCATTTCGTCGTCCAGCAACCACTGTCGAACTTAAAGGCAGCGCTCAACTGATGTTCCTGCGCCCAGTGAGTATCCTGGATAATATCCTCCCTATGAGGATGGCAGTATGTACTCTAGTTTTGCATCCCAATAAAGCGAAGAGGAATAGCGCCGTTCGCATACAGTCGGGAGCCTTCGCCGCACCCGGCCAACATGGGATCTATATAGGCAATTTCTATAGATTTTTTTCTGCTTTTTTTTCTTCACTACTGGATCACGTATTATATGAGCTCCATAACTCATTATTCTTGGAAGCGGGCTCAGCCTTCAAAGGCTAAGCCAAAGCAGTTATGGCAGCCAGGTGGGCGGGGCGGCATCCTCTTCACAAGCGGGTGGCGCCATCCTCTCTCTTTCCCCCATACCTTTGAGCTGCAAAATTAATACATCCTGCCACCATTGTCGACAAAGCTATATCTAAAAAGGGCGTGCGGAACATCCGAATGTACGCGGGCGTTGTCCTTTAAAAAATCGTGAAAACAACTACGATGGGCGGAGGGCGAAGATCATGGGACATCACACTACCACCTTCTACTTATATGACTAAATTATGTAAAGACTGGAACAGTCTGCCAAAAGAATAATACAGCCATATGAATTGCCGGAACCTTGGCATATCTTTTAGGTAGGTATGGCTATTGTCGACCAGACAGCAGGTAAATGTCCTGAACTGTCCTACGACACACTTTCCGATTCTAACCACCCAAAGCCTGGCGATGGATCGTACGGTGGCGATCACGCTCTGGTTGGATCGGTTGCTGATGTTGTGTAAGTTTGCAAGATTCCGGGGATATCAGCTTTGAATGCCCAGATAGCTGTACAGAAGTTTCATACCACAATTGCAGGATACCTTCAGCAGACTCAACGGGAGATTTTACTCGACTAGGATCATGTGAGTTAAAGTTCATTCCCTAGAGTACTGAATACTGCATGTCACTTCCTGAAAGTGCCCCACCTTTGTCGGCACATTTCCCAGAAACACGGTAGGCGTGATTGAGTGGGAGCAGTTATGGGCGGTAGCGGCCAGCCTTCTCGTTTCCCACATGGGTATGTGCATCTTTTTCACCGTGTTAGAACAAGGGTGAGCTTATGATAAGGGCTCAGTGGTTTATCGTTTCCGCCCACATGTCCATTAGGTTGCGTTCATACTTCGTGGCAGCGTCTACCAGCGACCGCCAACGTCTCGAGGGACTAGGAAAGTATGGATATCAATCATAGGAAAGTATGGATAGCATCTACTAGCGCCAACCAGCGACTACCCGCGACTACAAGTACGGTATTAGTACGGTACGGTTGCACACGCCAGAACTTCACGGCGCCTAATCCAGCTGTCTCCTCCCTCCTACTTCCCCATACTCTACCAGCAGTCTGCTGCCCTCTTGTTTCCCATACTCTCTACTCCTGGTCGCTTGTGGACGCTGGTGAGCGCTGGTAGACACTAGATCGATATCCATACTTTCCTAGTCCTCGAGGCTCTGATGGACACCGGTAAACGCTACCGTTTACTAGATCGATATTTATACTTTCCTAGTCGCTAACGCTGACGGACGCTCGGTCGCTGGTGGAGCTGTCCCAAAGTATGAATTCAATCTCATGCGATTAACTCCGCTGCGTCTTAAAAGCAAACTGTAGATTCACTCCATAGATCCCGGTCCTTGTCATGTGCGAGCTAAATGGATTCCCTGATGGAATTGTGTGTCACTTTTTCCCCTCAAAGTGCACGGAAACAGTGTTTAAGAGTATGGAAGAGTAGCGACACCCTGGTATCGTCTCCATACTCCGCCCGTGCTGCTACCTACACGCCAAAACTCAGAAAAACGCGTAATCGTCCTTACCCTCTCACTTCTGATTGTTTCCTACCGCTGAGTGCCTGTTTCGTGGCGGGACCTTAAGATCTGGGCAATTACTGCGATTTGAGCATAGCGCGAGTGGGATGTGAGGTCTGCACTTGTGTATCACGACCCTACTGCCCCGTTCCTGTGCAATTTCGAGCGGAGACAGTGGCACGCTACTGCAGCTGTGGACCCATTCGCCTCTCATATGGCCCCCTCGGAGGTAGATGTACGCTCTCTCTTTAAGTCTCCCCATAAAACGAACAATTTCAGTTATATCATCACGACGATCATCTCGGA